ATTGCCACAAAGTCTTACTCAGAAGGTATCTAGTACTTCATACAATGACTGTAGCGCATTGCCACAACGTCTTACTCAGAAGGTACCGCGTACTTCATACAATGGCTGTAGCGCATTGCCACAATGTCTTACTCAGAAGGTATCTAGTACTTCATACAATCGCTACCTCGTAGCCAAAATTATCTTTTTTTGGTCTTACATAAGCTGCCTAGCAATCAATCTTTTGGACGCTCTCTTGATTTGATGAATAGTAAGGATTTAATCTTTACGTCCCAGATCTTACATATACCTTCTATGTATAAATTACTCTAGATGCCATACCTTTTATAACATACTTTCTAGGTATCTGTTCCTCTAGGCATCATATTTTACATTTACTTTGTAAGTATCTTTTCCTCTAGGCACCATATCTTACATTTACTTTCTAAGTATCTTTTCCTCTACGCACTATAGCTTACATTTAATTTCTAAGAATCTTTTCCTCTCGGCACCATATCTTACAACTTATTTCTAGGTACCAGTTCCTCTCGGCACCATATCTTACAACTTATTTCTAGGTACCAGTTCCTATAGGTTAAGGAGACGTCACATACTCAGGTACAAGTTCCTAAATGAATGCTCGTTGTATGCGTTACGTTAACGTACAATCTTCAATTATTTCCACCTTATAACTTGCACACGTTTCTTCAGATACTGTCCTATGATTGCAACAACTGATAAGTTCCCCTCAGTTTGTCATGGCCCACTTTATAAATGCCGTAATCTGTGATTTAATGACGTGCTGCTCTATTCCTCCCAGGCATCACAGTGCTTCTCGCTCTGACCGTCTTCATGAGCATGGTCAGCGGCATGCTGCCCAGGTCATCCATCACCATGCCCAAGTTGACCATCTACCTCTTCATTCTACTGGTCATTTCAATGCTGACCGTTATCGACAGTGTCTTCATTATGTACTTGCATCACATGCAGACGGTAAGAGACCCTCGTTTAACGGATAGAATTTAAAAAAATGAATTGAATAGACAGTACAGAACTGGAGAGTTAAAATATGCTGTACGTCTAAGTTCCCCTTCATTAAGGGCACTCACAAATGTTTGTGTCGTTAACGCCTAGTCTACCAAAAAAATCAATAGACTGTTTCATAGTTTGTTTTGAGAGTAGACAGACTTGCATAATTTGTTTGGAGAGTAGACAGACTTACATAATTTGTTTGGAGAGTAGACATACTTACATAATTTGTTTGGAGAGTAGACAGACTTACATAATTTGTTTGGACAGTAGACAGACTTTCATAATTTGTTTGGAGGGTAGACAGACTTAGATACTTTTTTAGAGAGAAGACTTACATCATTTGTTTTGAGAGCAGAATTATATGGAGTGGACTTATATAATTTTTTATGAGAATAGGTTATACATAATTTTTTGGAAAGCATAGACTCTTTCCTAGTTTTGTCGAGCTCTAAACCCAAAAACTGTATTGACGGTTTAACCATTGGGTCAGCCTGAGCTCACACTTGAGGGCGCTATGATTAACAACTACAAACTAGAGAAAACACGTCGTCTCGTGCACCATAAATTAGTTAACAGATGCGGAATCTAATGTTAAGAAGATGTTAGTAGAGTCAAAGGCGCCCACATTTTTCTTAGCCTATCTGCGTCTGACACTTTTTTCGTCAGACCTGTTAATGTAATGGGCTTTTAATAAAATAATTGATCTGGAAAATAATAGTCTTTAAAAAAAAACAACACAAAAAAACAAAAAAAAAAAAACCGACAAACAAACAAACAGTCAACACACAACAAACTGTGCAATGCACTTTTGTTGTTCACGGTTCGCCTAACGCCGTCCACAGGAACACCCTATACACAAAACAACCTCGACGATGTTGAGAACGTTCGTAGAGAAACTGTCGGAACTCAAGCGCAATCTCCCCCTGAGGAAGAACGCCGATCTGGGCCCTCGTGACGGGGGCACCGGCTGTCCCGCCGGAACGCTGACGAAGGACTCACCGGCTGACGCGCCAGCAGGCGAGAGCTTCGGCGGCTTCGGCCAACCGACGTCGAAGCCGGACGGTGGTGGCGAGGACAAGAGTGTGGTCTTGGAGAAGGTCGAGATGAGCTGGGTGAGCCTGAAGTTCATTCGAAGACACATCGACTTCATATCGTTCGTCGTCTTCTTCATCGTTTGGTTGTCGGTGACCCTTGTGTTTCTTTTGGACATCACTTTTTCCTGAAGTTGTCTAACTTCATTCAAGGACTCTTCGGAAAGGTTTTTATTAATATAATCGGAGGTAAACGTCTCTTTTCTCGCATCCGTTTGGGAAAACACGGGACCTTTCAAATGTTTGATTTTCACTGTTCAAGTTACAATGTACCAAAATCACTCGACGCCTGAAGTGGAACCCCCCACACCCCTCCACCCTCCACCCCCCCACCGTTCCTACGAAACTGCATATAAAAAAGACACTTTTTAAGTGAAACCATTTAACATTAGCACAGACCAGAGGCGACTAATGAGGCATAGCTCCTTTATAATCTATAAACACAATTTTAAGGAATTTACTATTTGCTTTGCGTTTTTTGAAATGCTTTAACTTGCCTGTAGATCAACCTTTATTTTGATACCGAGTCTGTTTCATATTATCTTAACAATACTGTGATGTATATTAATATTAAATACATCATTTTTGAGTTAGGCCTACCAACATCTCAGCCTCAAGACTTGACCGCAAAAAGAATTGCCACCTTGATTAGTGTGTTGATATTACTGGAATGGCGGTAAAATGTATAACACCTGTCTCAGATGACTGAAAACACATGTCACCCATGTTGGCACACCCCCAAATGTCACACATGATGACACATTGTCATGCCACTAATGAATACCACATTATCAATGATAAGACATGTCATATTTTCATCAGTGATAATATATTGAACCAATAATAATTGTCATAATTATGTTCCTTCAACCAAAAGCATCGTCTCTAGCCGTCCACCACCTCGAATGTTTCCGCTCCCTGTCCCAACACTAGCCGCCCTAAAATCAGACACAAGCTGACCACAAACCCGACTCTTAACTGCCCCCCCCCCGACGCTATCTTCCCACCACCCCGACTCTAGCTACTCACAACATTGACTGTAGCTGCCCACCACCTAGACTTAAGCTGCCCACCACCTTGAATAGCCTGTCCACCACCCAGACACTAGCTGCCTACAACCCCGACACTAGATGCTAATGACCCCGACACAGGCTGCACACCACCCCCGAATCCAACGTATACTCTGTACATTTTGTCTCACACCAAGTGAGATTCCTCAGTTCTACCGTACTGGAAATCGGGGGGGGGGGCCTCATGGATGGACTTGATTCCTCAGTTCTACCGTACTGGAAATGGGGGGGGGGGGGGCCTCATGGATGGACTTGTGTGTCACGCCCGCTAGTCACCGATTAACCTAAATCGTGGCAATGCGAGCTCCAGATCAGCGGTTCTCAAAGTGGTGGCTCGTGGGCATCAATAAAAGCACCGGTCCCATGACGCTATGGGCTACCCCTTTCAATCCCTGAAACTTCCACAGTTAAAGCGGGCCACTGAGTCAGACGAGACATTCAAGGCACGCGTGGCTATGCAGACCCTGGAGATCTTTCAACGACTTTGTTCGCCGTAGATCTGCTGATAAAATTATATGGGATAGTATTTAGCAATCGTATCTGCCGCCCCCCCCCCACCCTCAGCCTCACCCCGCCATAAACTTGAACCCACGTGGGTGTCGCTTTACCGTAGGAGCCATTCGTGTCGCCAGCCGTCATGCGGACTCCCAATGACCCGTGCATTGTGCCAGGGAACAGTTTTTTTCTTTTGTTTAACGCTGGGATTGTCTTGTCAGGAGACGCGCTCATTGTCAAGTCATGAAATACGTCTATTGATTGAACCAACGGGTGTTTGTGGTGGGGTGGGGGTTGGGGGTGGCGTAAATCTCCTCAACAATAAGGGTGTATCAGTTTCTAAAACCAAAATCTCGTATTTGCTGCTTTTGATTGACATGTAAATGTAATGTCAAGAGTGGCGTGACGTCTCCCAGCTGAGCGGGCCACGTTGTGGGCGCCCGCAACTGGAAAATTGCGCCTTCTTATAAAGTCAAGGACACGTATCTCTCATTAAAATGTTTACATTGATTGGTATTGCTACCATTGTCTGGTTCCATTCCGTTTCCCGCATAGTCTTCGACAATGTGTCAAGTGACCAAATGACTATCTTTATCGACAAGTAGTTCTTTGGAGCGTTCTGGTCGACTCGAACTAAGAGAGGAGAAGTGACAGGCCCAAAATCACAGAGTTAAAACTCAGAGCCATACGTGGTGATGCCACAATCCGGAGATCTCGAAGCGTAAAATAAATTCACTGTTTTGGATTATGTAAATTGTGCATCTCTGTTGTGGACACAGGTAACGGATTGTGTAGTTGGTTTGCTCAACTTATACCGGTGTCTTCATCGTCAACATCACGTGATTAAAATACATTGATAAAATGAATGTATTACGAGACAGCTGTTTTTTTTTTGTTTTTTTTTTAGCGTTCCAATCTCAAATTCTCCATTTCAATTCCTCAACAATATCTTTAAAGTCTATTGTGGTTTACCGGTTCGGCGTCAGGATGTGTGATAGAAAAGCGTAAAGATTCTGACAAAGAGATTTTGTGTGTGTCATAAAGTCGTAAAAACGTTTAATGAAAACCACAGCGACGACAACAACGTGATTTAGCTGTGTGATAGGGAAGTTTGAAATCGATGCACACACTCGATGCAATCTATTACCTGTTGTGTAGAACTGAGTTGGCTATTCCCAAGTTTGATCAATTTTCAGAACAATAATTTGTATTCTCACAGTAACTAAAAATGAAATATTCAAGATAAAAAGAATTAATGTTTAACAATGACGTCTGTATATTTATTATGTTTTTACGTGGATTGTTTTGCAACGGAATAGTCGTATTTCAGTGAAAAGTATTTAATGATGTTAAGTTGATTTTAGTTTTTATTTTGTTCTGTTACAAGACAAACGCCAATTTTTACGCCTAGAGTCCAACTCTTAAACTAACCCCCCAAAAATTATGGAACTTGCGTACATTTTCCGGAACACATTGTGCCGCCTGTTGCTGCTCTCCGCGCTCACAGCGAGAGCGACCGGCCAGACCTACGAGGCCACCATGGCCATTTACCGAGACAAGCTCGGCGGTGACAACTACAACACTGAGATCAGACCCATCAAAGACCAATCGCGAGCCATCTTCGTTAACGTCAGTTTCGAGCTGGTCTCCATCGTGGAAGTGAACGACGTCCTTCAGAGTTTTGTCTGCAATGGTTTCCTGGTCTTCAGCTGGCATGATCAGGTGAGGACACCATTAAGTCAATTTTTTAAATGTATTTTTGTGTGTTTGGAAAAAGGGAAACATTTATTTAAGTGATAATTTACTCATCTTTTGTATATAGGTTAAATGGAATTTATAAAATTACCGATACATGAAATATACGAACGCCCCAGATCTCGAAGAAACTGGAATCCTAACGAAAAAGTCCAGCACACTTTTGTATAAAATACAAAAATTGCATTGGAATTCAAATGTCCAGGACATTGTTCGTGTAATTTTTTTGTGCGTAAGTTTCTTCCAGAACTCTGGCCACGACTACGCTGCGTCTTTCCGTTCGCTGTAAGGAGCTGTATTAAAAGCATCTCGTGCGATTTTCACTTAAAATTTTATTTATCTGTGTTTATTAAATATTACAGTTTTATACAATAACAACTGAGTATATTCGCCATGGGTCCTTGAAAGTAATTTGAGGAAGATGAGAAAAAAAGCTGTTAGAGCTACACTTGAAGCTAAGAAAAATCTCATTGCTAAATATGAAAGAAGTAAACTTACAGCTGACCTTCCTACTCTGTCAGTAATACCTCACTTCACTGTTTGTATGGTTTTGAAAACACAAAGAAGCTGTCAAAGAAGAAGATGAGGTGGCAAAAGGGGGTTACGGCACAGTCCTGGGTGTAGACACTTACCTTATGTTGCGACACTGACCTGGATTTGAAACTGACTTGGGGTTAGACAACGACCTGGGGCTAAACACTGACCTGGGATTAGACACTGACCTGGGGTTACAACACTGACCTGGAGTTACGACACTGACCAGAGTTACGAAACTTACATTATTTACAACACTGACCTGGAGTTACGGCAATGACCTTGGGTAAGACCCTGACCTGAAGTTACGAAACCGACCGATGGTTTGACACTTGGCTGGGGTTATGACACTGACCTGAGTTACGACACTGACCTGGGGTTAGACAACGATCTGGGGCTATACACTGACCTGGGATTAGACACTGACCTGGGTTTGCGACACTGACCTGGGGTTACGACACTGACCTGTGGTTACGACACTGACCTGGGATTACCACAATGACTGGGGTTAAGAAACTGACTATATGTTACAACACTGATCGTGATTTACGACACTGACCTTGAGTTACATCACTGATCTGATGTTTTGACACCAACCTAGGCTTTGACACTGATTTGATGTCACGACACTGACCTGATGTCACGACACTGACCTGATGTTACGACAGTGACCAGATTTTTTTTACACTGACCTGATGTTACGACACTGACATAATGTTACGACACTGACCTGATGTTATGAAACTGACCAGATTTACGACACTGACCAGATGTTACGACACTGACCTGATGTTACGACACTGACCAGATGTTACGACACTGACCAGATGTTATGACACTGCCCTGATGTTCTGACACTGACCAGATGTTACGACACTGACCAGATTTTATGACACTGACCTGATGTTACGACACTGACCAGATGTTACGACACTGACCAGATGTTATGACACTGCCCTGATGTTCTGACACTGACCAGATGTTATGACACTGACCTGATTTTACGACGCTGACCAGCTGTTATGACACTGACCTGATTTTACGACACTGACCAGATGTTACGACACTGACCTGATGTTATGACACTGACCTGATGTTATGACACTGACCAGTTGTTATGAAACTGACCAGATGTTACGACACTGACCTGATGTTACGACACTGACCAGATGTTATGAAACTGACAAGATTTACGACACTGAACAGATGTTATGAAACTGACCAGATGTTACGACACTGACCAGATGTTACGACACTGACCAGATGTTAGGACACTGACCAGATGTTATGACACTGACCAGATTTTATGAAGCTGACCTGACGTTACAACACTGACCTAATGTTACGACACTGACCAGATGTTACAACACTGGCCTGATGTTACGACACTCACCTGGGTTTACGACACTGACCTAGGGTTACGTCACTGACTTGATGTTGTGACACCAACCTGGGATTAAGACACTGACTTGGTGTTAGTAATTGGTGGACGAAGAAACGTAGAGTTTTTCGGACCCAGTATCGGATTAATCCAGTTTTTACTCTTTTAAAGGGGAAAAATTGTCTTGGAACTCGAACCCAATGAAGCGCGAAATTGGTTACGGAACAGATTATTTTTAGTTTCCAGGTCCCAGTGTAATTTGTTTAGATGTAATTAATGTATCATCCATTTAATGTATGCATTTTAAAAATATTTTATCCGTTTAAAAAAAAAATGTGTTACTATTCAAACATTATTTGAAAACTTGTTATTCCACGAGAAACAAAATTTCAATGACAACGTCCATATTTTGTGTATCAGCGTATTGTCTGGGACCCAGCCAACTATAACGGTCAGACGGTGATACATCCCTTGCCAGAGAAGATCTGGAGGCCAAGGGTCATTTTGATGAACACCCTCGGTGAGAGGGACCTCTTCGCTGACCATAAATCGTGAGTTTTAATCCAGTTATAAACTGGGGGTGGAGCTTTTGCAGCATCCCTTAGGCATCCACGGTGTTGCCAGGTCTAGGTCTATTTTTTTCCGTATAAATATTTTTTTATATTTTAAAAATATTTTTAAATTCGTTATTTAAAATGTAAAAAAAAAATATTTTTAGTTTTTTTTTTAAATATTGTTTTAAATATATAAAAATAGTTTTTATTATTTTAAAATATTGTTTAATATTTTCAAAACTTAATATTAAATTAAAAAAAAAAAAGATCAATAATCTTTTAATATTTTTGGAAGTGGCTATTATTTTTAGTTTTTTTTTTAAATATTGTTTTAAATATATAAAAATAGTTTTTATTATTTTAAAATATTGTTTAATATTTTCAAAACTTAATATTAAATTAAAAAAAAAAAGATCAATAATCTTTTAATATTTTTGGAAGTGGCTATTCGGACCCGGGTGTGAGAAGTTAGAGGTTGGGATTAAAATTTAAAAAAAAAAAAAAATTATTGTTCGGTTTTAAGACAAAATTTGGTATCAAATGAAAGATAATTGAATGGACTATATGTTTGTAAACTTTATTCTTCAGTTAAACTAAAATAAACTACCACAAATGACATCTGAATAGCATTGAGTCAAATTGGAACTGGAAACGCATCGCCGTTATTCGGACCCGGGTCCCTTAAGACTCAATGCTATTCAGATGTCATTTGTGGTAGTTTATTTTAGTTTAACTGAAGAATAAAGTTTACAAACATATAGTCATTCAATTATCTTTCATTTGATACCAAATTTTGTTTTACAAACCCAACAATAATTTTTTAAATATTGTTTAATAAACTCAAACTCTAACTTCTCGGACCCAAGGCCGAATAGCCGCAGCCATATTTTTTATTATATTTTTTTTTAAAAATAGTTTTAATTTTTGTTTTAATAGTTTTTATTTGTTAAAAGTAAGTCTTGAAATTTAATTTTTTCAGAAGTGCTACCTAAAAAATGTAAAGCAATTAAAATAATCGAAGTCATTTTTAGACTTGGGTAATCGCAAGTCCAGCGAAATTGGAGAAACCGAATCAAAATCTTTGGCAGATTTTTGTTGCCATTAATCTATGCATTAAACAAGATTTACTGCCTAATTTACCCGTAAAATTTCACCTGTATTACGATCGTAATGTGGAGTCCATAGAGTTGTACCAGAAATGCTAATATATGTTATCCGTGATAACTTTCATTGTATTTATTACAAAATAAACTGTTATTTATTTAAATTATTAAATATTGTATAAAGATTACCAGCGTTATATGTCTCGGGTAGTTCGATATGATACTGGTATGAAATACTTGTGCACTTGATAAAACTAATTCTACTTATTCTTTGTGTAGTCCTGTTTTCATGTTCCACAATGGTAAAACCATATGGGTCCCTGGGAGCTTGTTCCCTTCAGCATGTGAGCTGCACATGAAGAATTACCCGTTTGACGAGCAGACCTGCGTCATACAGGTAGGTCATCTGGGCAGAACGAACACTACATTTTGTCCAGGCAATATGTTTCGTGATACTTTCTCGAGTTCCACATTGTATATGTTAGGTCTAAGTGGAAGGATGTGGTGAGAAAGGTCAAACCCCGACGTGGGCTTTAGCGCAACAGGGATATGGATTTTGGCTGTAACATGTCTAAGAATTGACGCACATCCACATTTAATGTAAAAATAAAGCTGTCGGGTTGATGTTCATCTTTATGTTAAGAAATCCTAATTTAAACTTAATCTCAAGGACTAGGTGCTACTAGAAGTCTCAACACCATCAGATGTAATCCACCAAGCCCTGTATAATACATATGGTCATATTTAAACCAAAAAAAAAATTAAAACGACGCCCATAAATTCAATTTTTAAGACTTTAAATGTATTTTAGGCAAAGTTAATTGTCAGTTTCATTTGCTCACATAAATTAAACACACTGATAAGTACTATGTGAAATACAGGTTAACATTTTTAATTGGTTTCAAGAGAGAATGTTTTAAACACATTTTTCCAGTATACCCTCGTGTATCTTCATTACGAACAAAGAGCTCATGGAGCTTATGCTGGGAATAGAAGAAAACAAAATCAGAACAATTGTTTCCAAAAACAAAGTTGTTCATATAGTCAAATGCTAGAATTAAATGTTGACACTGTGCTTAGGAACAGCAATGAGACGTCTCTACATATTTATATATATATATATATAGTCACACATCTTCTTAAATGCCCAAATGTTGTCTGCATCAGATCGTCGCTATGTCGCTGACCAAAGAAGAGCTGCAGTTTGTTACCTCCCCTTCTGACCTCGGAATCGGGTTCTCAACCACACACGAGGAATGGGACCTCCAGCACAGACGAATTGAGGCTCTGAATGTAACCACAGAATCCATGAGTTTCTCCTCCGTGCAGGTCGGTTTTTAAAGTTTCCCACCCAACACAGCAAAAAATACGACGAGGCCACCCACTTAATTACGGAGTTGTAGCGTGAGGGCAATAGAAAACATTATTAGCATTTGTTTCCTTTGTGAGGACTCCTGTAGCCAAAGACTGGTATTTAAAAGTGCCAGCGGAACCAGGGTGAGAATCCCCGTTCTAGGTTACCAGCGTAAATGACCGTTAAAAACAATATTTAAAATTAGCGATACGTCTTAAAGTTACTAAATTCTTGTACCATTAAAAACAAAAATATTAAAGCAATATGATTAACTATAAGTTCTCCATTAAAAGCAGTATTTTATAGAGGGGGGGAAAAGGGCATTAATTTGAAACCTGAACTGCTTTATTTGTCTATTTCAGTTGACGTTTACGCTCAAGAGACGGCCATTTCACGTACTAATCAACATACTATTTCCCGTTATCTTTTTGTCTTTCCTCAACCTCCTAGTCTTCTTTATTCCCGTTAAACCTGGCGAGAAAATCTCGTACGGTGAGTTGTTTTAAAATTACTAACTTATTCACCTATACAATTAGTTAATTTAAAAAAAAAAAAAAAAAAAAAACCCGCAATGGAACATTTTTAATCACAAAGCGTTGAAATGAATAGACAAATAGGGCTGAGGGCTGGTCTTGCAATGCGCTACTGGCATTAAACATTAACCAATGAGATCACATGCAATTTGATGAATCGCAGGACAACTTTCACGGACATTTTTATAATTATGCTATGCCAACGCGAGGCGTACATTTTAAGATGGAAATGATAGAAACAAGGTGCAGGAGATCCCTGATAATAGGAATGCAACAAAGCAACGAACGTGTCGTCAAGAAGCCTTCACCGGTGAACAAACACCAGCAAGAACAGAATAATAATAAGAATTAGCTGAAGAACAATATCCTTGCTACATTTCAATAATACTGAAGTCGCGTTGCTAAAATAAGATCCATAAGTTTCACAGACTCTCTCTCTCTCTCTCTCTCTCTCTCTCTCTCTCTCTATCTCTCTCTCTCTCTATCTCTCTCTCTCTCTCTCTCTCTCTGTCGTATGTTTTATTTTTTTTTCCTCAATTTTTCACTTTTTTCCCAGGTATAACAGTCCTACTCGCTCTCACAATAAGAATTAGCTCAAGAACACTATCCTTTCTACATTTCAATAATACTGAAGTCGCGTTGCTAAAATAAGATCCATAAGTTTCACACACTCTCTCTCTCTCTCTCTCTCTCTCTCTCTCTCTATCTCTCTCTCTCTCTATCTCTCTCTCTCTCTATCTCTCTCTGTCGAATGTTTTATTTTTTTTTCCTCAAAGTTTCACTCGTTTCCCAGGTATAACAGTCCTACTCGCTCTCACAGTCTTCATGAGCATGATGAGTGATATGCTGCCGAGGTCATCCCACGAGATGCCCAAGGTCACTATCTACATCTTCATCTTGCTGGGAATCTCTGTGCTGACCGTCGTGGACAGCATCGTCATCGTATTCTTGCACCACCTGAAAGAGGTAAACCACGATGTAGCGATGGTTTCATTACGAGATTATAATTTCCTAGTTTAAAAAAAAATATTGTAATTCAAATGAAGCCATTGCATAAGAAAGTATTTACATCACATAAGAAAGTATTTACATCACATAAGAAAGTATTTACATTGCATAAGAAAGTATTTAGCCTACATCGCATAAGAAAATATTTCCTCGCCCACAATAAGCATCCCAGCCAAATTAACTGAGTAACCTTATGTTTAAGAACGTAACACTCTCTATTTAACACTCCATTTATTTTATAACTTCGCTATAGAAAGGGAGACCATTCATTACAATTATTGTTATAGTTTGCAATTTTAGCTCTACGGGGAAAACCGTTTACAATAGATTAGTCGTCTGTGAGGGTCGCTTATTGCCATAACGATCCGAGTGGAACTTGTGCTGTAATATGTATGACAGAAGCTAAGTAAATATATCCACAGCCCAGTTTAAAACATATATATATATATGGTATACATTTCGCATTTAAATAGATTTTCTTACATAATTACAGAAAGAATCAATTCACCAGAAAGCCAAAAATACGTTTAAAAGGCTTTATAGGAAAGTCTCAAATTTACGACTCGCCACATCACCTACAGAAAAATCCAAAAATGATGGTTTCAAGCGAACACAACGAGACGAGACTCAGGACGCCCTCTTCAATGACGATGAACGTCCAAAACGTACCGACGCTGGGGGAAATAAACTGGGACACAGGAAACTGAGTGTGTTGTCCACCGCTTCGTCGGTCACGCGTTTAAGCTGTGATTTATCTAATCAACGCGGTCAGCTCCAGCCTTTAGCCCAGAACACCAACGAGGAGTCCTCAGCTGGCGAGCCGTCAGAGCACGACGACGGTGACCGGGAGGAGGGTGACCAGCGTGGGATTTGGAAGACTGCGAAGAGCCATTCCTCACAGAGAGGGCTCCTCGAAGGAGCGCAGTGTGGCTCATCGCCTCAAGATCAACGGCGAACTAACAAGTACCGGCTGATTGGTGGACACATTGATTTGGTCTCGTTCGTTGTGTTTCTCTTGGTCTGGACCGGCGTGACCTTGGGGTTCTTGTTTCATATTTCTTCATAAGAGGTTTGGATGCTTAGACATTGAGGAGAGTATCATGATATAACCTAGCAATAGAAATTGAGTAAGGGATCATGACATGACCTAACAAAAGAAAGTTAAGAGACTATCATGATATGACCAAACAATAGAAATTGAGTAGAGTATCACGATATGACCAAAAGATAGAAACTGAGTCGAGTATCATGATATGAGCTAACAATAGAAATTGAGGAGAGTATCATGATATGATCTAACAATAAATATTGAGTAGAGTATCATGACCTAGCAATAGCAAACGAGTGGCATATTGTAGCATGAACTTAAAAAGGCATCATGATTTAGATTGTGCAAAGCACTTATACATTATCCAATTGTATTGTCTAGTTTAAAGTTTTTATTCATGTCCGGCTTATTCGAATATGGAGTACATAGCTATTGTCATTACAGCGGACCCGTCATGATCAAACTGTGGACGTTGGCCTTTCAATTTTTAAGACAAAACTCTTCATAGCTTGACTCTGGCAAACAATGTGACTTTGCTCACATACACTGTCATTCATTACATTACAGCAAAAGTTCAACTTCCTCCAAATCTTCCTTCACAAAAGTTCAACTTCCCCTCAATCTACCTTCACAAAAGTTCAACTTCCTCCCAATCTACCTTCACAAAAGTTCAACTTCCTCCCAATCTACCTTCACAAAAGTTCAACTTCCTCCCAATCTTCCTTCACAAAAGTTCAACTTCCTTCCAATCTACCTTCACAAAAGTTCAACATCCTCCAAATCTACCTTTACAATGTTCAACATCCTTCCAATCTACCTTCACAAAAGTTCAACTTCCTACCAATCTTCATTCAAAAAAGTTCAACTTCCTCCCAATCTACCTTCACAAAAGTTCAACTTCCTCCTGATCTTCCTTCACAAAAGTTCAACTTCCTCCCAATCTTCCTTCACAAAGTTCAACTTCCTCCCAATCTACCTTTACAAAAGTTCAACTTCCTACCAATCTTCATTCACAAAAGTTCAACTTCCTCCAAATCGTCCTTCATAAAAGTTCAACTTCCTCCCAATCTACCTTCACAAAAGTTCAACTTCCTCCCAATCTTTATTAACAACAGTTCAACTTCCTCCAAATCGTCCTTCATAAAAGCTCAACTTCCTCCCAACCTTCTTTCACAAAAGTTCAACTTCCTACCGATCTTCATTCACAAAAGTTCAACTTCCTCCCAATCTTCCTTCACAAAAGTTCAACTTCCTCCCACTCGAGGATATTCTTACCACTTGACGTCCTTTTTCGTGGCCCTATCTAATGTGACCTGCCTGAGTATGAGTCTCCCCTGGACACAATGATCGTTTGTGACTTTCCTTCCTTCATTATATTATTTGCTTTAAGTCACTACTCATTTCAAACTCATTCAACTTCATAAAATATGTGCCCACGACCCCCCCCCCCCTGCCCCACATTAAACAGATTAAAAACATAACTAAAATTTGACAAACCGTGTTTCTTGATTAGTTGTCCAGCCTTTAAACATGCACCGATGAAGAAGACCCCAATGACGGCGGCTAGGCAAAAAGTAGCGGTCTGATAGGTTTTCAGCAACGCCGCCTGCTCATCATCAGTGGGCAGTGTTGTAGGGGTCAGTGTTGTAGGGGTCAGTGTTGTTGGGGTCAGTGTTGTAGGGGTCAGTGTTGTGGGGGGCAGTGTTGTAGGGGGCAGTGTTGTAGGGGGCAGTGTTGCAGGGGGCAGTGTTGTGGGGGGCAGTGTTGTAGGGGGCAGTGTTGTAGGGGGCAGTGTTGTAGGGGGCAGTGTTGTAGGGGGCAGTGTTGTGGGGGGCAGTGTTGTGGGGGGCAGTGTGGTGGCTGGTGTGGGGACGTCTTGATCCTTGTCTTAAAATTAAAAAAAAACAACAAAAAAACTTGGATAAATCAAATAAACTTTCACGGTTGTCTAGAAGAGACAAGCCTTGTACATATAGAACGACGTTACCTGTTAGAATTAGTCTTAATTAGTCGGTACCTTTCAGGATTTTTCGGTACCAGTGGCGTAGCTAGGGAGAGGGGGCTGCTGGGGTGTGGACCGCACCGGGCTGTTACCATGAGTTAACTGCACCGGGTGACACCAGCCTAGCTACGCCACTGGCAGTTACATTTCAGAATTAGTTTCAGAATCTGTTAGAATAGGTGGGTATCTGTCAGAATTAGTGGGTATCTGTTAGAATTAGTGGGTATCTGTCAAAATTAGTGGGTATCTGTTAGAATAGGTGGGTGTCTGTCAAAATTAGTGGGTATCTGTTAGAATTAGTGGGTATCTGTCAGAATTAGTGGGTATCTGTTACAATCGGTGGGTATCTGTCAGAATAGGTGGGTTCTGTTAGAATAGGTGGGTATCTGCCAGAATTAGTGGTTATCTGTCAGAATTAGTGGGTATCTGTTAGAATATAGGTGGGTATTTGTTAGAATAGGTGGGTGTCTGCCAGAATTAGTGGGTATCTGTCAGAATTAGTTGGTATCTGTTAGAATCGGTGGGTATCTGTCAGAATGATCGGGTATTTGTCAGAATTAGTGGGTATCTGTTAGAATAATCGGGTATTTGTCAGAATTAGTGGGTATCTGTTAGAATAATCGGGTTTTTGTCAGAATTAGTGGGTTCCTGTCAGAACATCAGTCGACACCTGTCTGGATAACAGAGACAAAAATGTGTGCCCAAATTGATGAGTCTGTAACTGTCAGAGCAGCGTAATTAAAAGTGTGTACACAAGTGATGAGTCAGTATCGGTCTATCTTGACATATCAAATGGTGTACACAACAGATGAGTCAGCATCGGTCTGTGATAACATATCAATTTGTTTACACAATAGTTAAGCCTGTGTCGGTCTAAGATGGCTTATGAAAATGAGTACACATTACAGGAACTTGCATCGGTCTAGGATAACTTATCACAGAGACACACGTGGGCTGCGTTAAACAGAACTTTGTCAGGGGAGACAAACAAACAGGATTTTTATTTTCTTCAAGGAAAACTATCCCTTCTTTAGCTCCTATTACTGGATTACATTATAAAAGGCGCTCTCACCAAAAGTATAACACTACATTAATTTTTTCTACGTTATTTAAGAAGATATGTGACAGTGCTCCACTCTATCCTTGGAGGTTTGGGCACCAATGCCACGTCCCATATCGTCATAACTATCACTTCCCAATGTTGGATTTCCCCAACCAATCGAGACGATGACGTGCCTATGACAAGTCGTGTTTTCAGATGCAGTTTATATCAAGCGGCATTAGACAAAGTGTTAGGGCAACATTCCACATTACCACTAAATAGAGTAAGAGTCATTTTATGTCTCCGTATGAGTAGAAAAAAATTTCGAATAACTTTACACCTCTTTGGTGTGGAACATAAGCTTCTTCTCCCATAGCCTCAATCCTAAAAATCCCATTCAGAGTGACATTTTATATTAACTTCGCTTTTGTTCGTGAGTTTCCTTCTGGCTCAGTGACGAAATGTTCAGACGGGTAATTGACCCAATTGCCGTCAGCATGTCGAGCTGAAACTTGACACATAGGCTTGCTGCCCTTTGAGACGCCATTCTTTGAAATTGTCTGCCCCATTCCAAACACCAACCCCCCCCCCCCCCCCAAATAGAGTGCGGGAAGGTACAGGAAATAGGATGACACTGTCATTACGAAATAAAATTGCGATAACTGCGCTAAATGACATTCGAACAAAAAAAAGTAACTCCATTAAAATTTGGTCCTTATATATTTTTTTTGTATGATGTTGGGTTTCATTCCATCCATTGTGGTTGTCTATTAATCTTGAAATTAAAAAAAATATTGCGTCCATGCCAACGAATAAACTACTCCGTGTTTCTGTCTTACTAAGCCAGTGCAAGCGTACCAAATGTCAATGCGGAAAAAAAAAATAAAAAATATATTCTTACCTGTTACGAGTGTGATTTCATAAAAAAAGTCCTTGCTGAAATTGTCGCAGATCACCACAGCCGTAGGGCCTCTCCGCTCGACCATGATGATAACACTACCAGTTGTGTTCCGCCAGCACTCTGCATAAAGGGGGTCATCTTCAGAACGATTTTTCGGGGAGAATTGACAGTTTGATGACTCTTTTGCAATCGCAAGAACCTCGATGACCCTGCTTTCAAATGATGGTTTGTATAGGATCTCTACATGATCTTTGTGTTCGGCTGCGCATACACAGGTAGCTCTGTTCTGTTCATCCCAATAAAGGATATCAAACGAGGCTGAAAAGAAATAAGTATCAATGCGTTGTAAAATAATACCATGGAAATACAATTTGAATAAATGATCGCACCATAAAACTAGTAATCTGCAATAATTTCATCAATGAGACTTTTTGTAAAGGGGTTGTAGCCACTAAACGTAATTCCGTATAATGAAAATTGGTTATTTTTTTTTGAATAATTAAAATCTATACTTAAATTGAAATCAGTAACATAATTGTGTTTTGAGATATTAATATAAAAACTCCAAAAAAACACACATTCACATTGAGCTTTATATAGTAGATTAAGATGATTCTTCTTTGAAACGGACTGGAAATGAATGAACATGTGAAAGATCATTCAGGCGAATATGCTCAAGTCAAAAATTGTTGAAGATTTGCCTTACAACGGGGTGCGTCATCGCTCCTGTCTATGAATCATTTAAAAAAACAACAACAAAAAACTAAATTTATTTTTACAACGTTTTCTTGACTGCCTTGTTACCTATTTTATTCTTAACAAGCTAGTCAATGGTAAAACCAAAAACTATCACTGCGATTCTTTTACCAAGTCAACCATGTACCCAGGGCCGTCTTTGGACAGCATTGGAGGCTCGGGGGGGGGGCGCCCCCTAAAACACATCACACTTGGGCTGTGAGAAGGGGGACGAAGGGGGCACTGGCCCCTTGCTCAAATAGTTGGGGGGGGGGCAAACATGTCACTGGATAATTACCATGCAGCTGTGCCACTGGATAATTACCATGCAGCTGTGCCACTGGATAATTACCATGCAGCTGTGCCACTGGATAATTACCATGCAGCTGTGCCACTGGATAATTACCATGCAGCTGTGCCACTGGATAATTACCATGCAGCTGCCCCACTGAGTAGTTACCATGAAGCTGTGCCACTGGATAATTACCATGCAGCTGCCCCACTGAGTAGTTACCATGCAGCTGTGCCACTGGGTAGTTGCCATGCAGTTGTGCCAATGTGTAGTTACCATGCAGCTAAGCCAATGGGAAGTTACCATGCAGCTGGGCCGCTGGGTAGTTACCATGCAGCTGTGCTCTCTCTAACACATATACCGTGAAAGACCTATGCCTCTCACGTGCATGTCCCCTACGTTAGGTTATTATGCCCCAGGTCACACCAGGGGGTAAATGGCAGCGCCTTTTGATTGACATGACATAATAGGAATTCCCTACCCGACTTTCGGACTGGAGCCCCGGGGGTTTCTGGACATCAAATGACTGTAAAATAGCTTTTTCAGCTGCTTTTGTCGCAGGAGTACATTTATTTCTGGTTAATGTTGGTATTGCGTAATGCTATTGTTTTCAAATTGTTTTTATTTACGTGCTGAAAATGTACAATGCAATCAAAACACTTTTCCATTTGTTTGTATCCATAAAATAATCTTATCTCATCTATATACCAGCCATTTTTACAGTTTGGATTATATTGATACATCAGAACAATTTTTTTAAATTTCTGTTTTTATATTTTACAAAACTGCAATCGTGTTCGCGAAACAAATAGCTATCTTCAGTGTGTCGCGAAATGTAGTCTAACAAAAAAAAAAAAAAAAAAAAAACACAACAAAAAACAAGCAAGTCGGTGACACGTTTACCTCGCCTTCCGTCCCCAAATATCTCGAGTCCGTCCTACCCACGGATTTGGCGAAGACTGATCACGTTATCACAGGGGATGGCAACTTCGAGCACTGCAAGCGCAGAAAAACAATTTTTTTAAATTTTTTTTTTTATATTTTACAAAACTGAAATCGTGTTCGCAAAAAAAAAAGCAAATTTAAGTGTGTCGCGAAAAAAAGTTAAAAAAAAAAAAAAAAAAAAAAAAAACACAACAAAAAACAACCAACAACAAAAACCCACCAAAATATCTGATGTGGTATTCGTTTAATAATTTGAATTGTTGTTCAGATTACTATTTAAAATGAAGTTAAGAAAAATAATTTTTTCAATTTAAATGATTTGACACTCCTAGATTAAGTAAATTAAAAGTCTTTCGATAGGGTTGCAATGAAAACGTCATTTAAAAGTATTTAAGGCGGGCGCGTTTCAAGAATTACCAGACATGTCTATTCAAGAGGGGGGGGGGGATTACGATAATTAAATTTAGATTACGTATAAGTACCTTTAAAAAATATGTAACAAAGTTTACATTCGAATCAATTTTTTGTTTAAATGTCAATTTTGGTAACAATAATTGTGCACTCGTTACTAGCATCCATACTTTTCAAACGAAAGAGAAATGAATAAGCTTATCGTTTTGTTTAAGTGTTGTCAAAATGTAGGCTACTTACTATCAAGCCAGTCACCGCACGCAATACATGAAGCTTTGATCATCATTGGCCAACAACACATGATAAGAAGAGCAATGATGGTCATCGCTGAGGTAGGAAATGGTACCAAATGTAGAGGGAAAAGTCTGTAAATATTACCGATTTCAATCTAAGTCTAGTTTAGAATCTGACGTCACGCGACTTTGCTTGGCTCAAACTCGTTCGACGGTATCTGTGGTTAAAATCATCATCCGGTTGTCACGTTGGTTAGCATCGATATGGCATTTAGATTTAAAGATCCCTGATCTCATACGTCTCTGAACATGTAATCACTCAGACGCCTACTGCTACAACTTCACTTAATGCATCAGTGAAATACGATTCTCTGTGTTTTAAAACATATTCGGGCTGTATACACACACGCAAGAAAAAGCAATGCAAATTATTTAAGATATAAGTGTCGTATTTTTTAAAGATTAAACCTACACCTTGCTAGACACAGAAGCTTTTGAGAGACTAACAGCTTACATACAGCTTTGCATTCTTTAATTTAAGGATCCGGGAAGGATTGGGGGTTGGGGGGGGGCAATAAGGTGAAGGTCACAATAGAAGACACGAAACAACCCGATCCGCGCATGCTCAGACCATCAGAATTTTAAAATAGGGTTGTGGAGCAGACTTTTTTTTTTAAAAAAGGTGTGGGGGGGGGGGCAAAAAAGGTTCACTTTCGATTTGATAACAGAAGCAAGGCCCTAACTTGTTTGGCACATAAAATTTTGGCCAAATCTACCTTTTTGTTAAAAGGTTCACTTTCGATTTGATAAACGAAGCAAGGCCCTAACTTGTTTGGCACATAAAATCTTGGCCAAATCTACCATTGTGTTATCCTTGAAGGCTCCATTGCCGTCAAGCTATATCCTAATGAATGTCACTCTAGTCAAGATTACGGGGCTTAAGAAACGTGTTGTAGACGCCTGCTGCTGGACAAAGCTTGGCGTGTTTGGGCAACGGGCCAGATCGTGCTAACGGGCGTAATGCGGTCGTTTGACATTGCAAGAAACGTCACTCTAGTAATTCAATAACGATTCAATAGCAATTTTAAAAAAAAAATTATTCTAATTTCCATTTATGTTTTTTCAAACTCAAAAGTCAAATATGATCCCCCCCACCCCACCCCACCCTTTTTTCCGTCGAGAGACAATTTTACAAACTACAAAAATGTGGTGATTCGATCTATGCCCTGTTGTCAAACCCACGTGATGACTGGAGCTATGCAGTACTGTCAAACCCACATGGTGACTGGCGCTATGCACTGTTGTAAAACCCACGTGGCGACTGGAGCTATGCAGTGTTGTCAAATCCACGTGGTTACTGGAGCTATGCACTGTTGTCAAACCCACGTGGCGACTGGAGCTATGCAGTGTTGTCACAACCATGTGGTGACTGGAGCCATGCAGTGTTGTCAAAACCATAGGGTGACTGGAGCTATGCACTGTTGTCAAACCCACGTGATGACTGTAGCTATGCAGTGTTGTCACAACCATGTGGTGACTGGAGCCATGCAGTGTTGTCAAAACCATGTGGTGACTGGAGCTATGCACTGTTTTCAAACCCACGTGATGACTGTAGCTATGCACTGTTGTCACAACCATATGGTGACTGGAGCCATGCAGTGTTGTCAAATCCACGTAGTGACTGGAGCTATGCACTTTTGTCAAAACCACGTGATGACTGGAGCTATGCAGTGTTGTCACAACCATGTGGTGACTGGAGCCATGCAGTGTTGTCAAAACCATGTGGTGACTGGAGCTATGCACTGTTGTCAAACCCACTTGATGACTGTAGCTATGCAGTTTTTTCCAACCCACGTGATGACTGGAGCTATGCAGTGTTGTCAAACCCACTTGATGACTGAAGCTATGCAGTGTTGTCAAACCCACTTGATGACTGTAGCTATGCAGTGTTGTCAAACTCACTTGATGACTGTAGCTATGCAGTGTTGTTAAACCCACGTGATGACTGGAGCCATGCAGTGTTGTCAAACCCACTTGATGACTGGAGCTATGCAGTGTTGTCAAACCCACTTGATGACTGTAGCTATGCAGTGTTGTCAAACCCACTTGATGACTGTAGCTATGCATTGTTGTCAAACCCACTTGATGACTGTAGCTATGCAGTGTTGTCAAAACCACTTGATGACTGTAGCTATGCAGTGTTGTCAAACCCACGTGATGACTGTAGCTGTGCAGTGTTGTTAAACCCACTTGATGACTGGAGCTAAGCAGTGTTGTCAAACCCTCTTGATGACTGTAGCTATGCAGTATTGTCAAACCCACTTGATGACTTTAGCTATGCACTGTTGACAAACCCACTTGATGACTGGAGCTATGTACTGTTGTCAAACCCACTTGATGACTGGAGCTATGCACTGTTGTCAAACCCACTTGATGACTGGAGCTATGCACTGTTGTCAAACCCACTTGATGACTGGAGCTATGCACTGTTGTCAAATCCACTTGATGACTGGAGCTATGCACTGTTGTTAAACCCACTTGATGACTGGAGCTATGCACTGTTGTCAAACCCACTTGATGACTGGAGCTATGCACCGTTGTCAAACCCACGTTCGCATGTCAAAATGTGGGACTTTCGTTACTGTTTATTTTTGTTTATGTAATAAAAAATGATTTGTGTCTCTAATGTTAAAACCCAGATTAAAGTCAATTTTCAGAGTGCTTTGAATCCAGATGCTAATCCCTGCAGATGAGTCTTTATAAATTGAATTAAGACGACTACCCTTACCGCGGGTCTATGCAAACAGTTTAAAAGCTCTAGACTGGCGTCTACAAAAGTCTCTCATTTTGAAATGAAAATGTCTTGTCAGATGGTGTGCTTGAGTAGATCGTCTACAAGCAGTGCATGCTTTGTGACTTGGTGCTGGGATAGCACAGTGTTTTCGACCACGTTATATCTTGGATGGACGCATGATCGTGAACGCTAGGTTTCACCTCTTTCCTTCTCTCGCCTTGGACTCGAATCGGAACAGGTATCAGGCCAGGACGTAAATCTCACAATGTTATTATCGAGGGTATTGGATATTTATTGTCCTTAAAGTTTGTCTTAAAATTTAAAAGCCATTTTTACCTTGCTAGCCCTGAAAAGGAGGTGAAAATTTATTTGTGTCTTCCTCTTGCTGGCGTTTTTTTAAAAATGTCAAACTTCTTACAAAGAAAGTCATGTTCTCTACCTCCCCACCCCCACCATTCAACTCGATACCAAATGTATTCTCCCAGTGCCGCTCTCCCCTCTTTTCTTACAATGCTGCCGACCTGTAACAATAGAGACATGCATTTTAATTTATAACATTACACAATTTGAAATGAAGCTTAGACTTTTATTTCACTTCAAATAAATCAATGGGGCTGTCTGGGCCAGTGTGGGTACAGCGTGCGAACCAGCGTGTGGACCAGCGTGTGTACCAACGTGTGGATTAACGCGTGGAACAGCGTGTGGTTCAGCGTTTGGACCAGCGTCTCTGAAACTGGTGGTTTCGAGAATTTTCAGCCACCGAAAACGCAACCGTAAAAGTCAGTAATTGTTGGGCTTGCTCCCACGGCATTGTGGTGAATGACGGGCAGAATCAACAAATCAAGACGTCTTAGTAAAAGGGATCTTGTACCCGGGGTGCCCGCACACCCAAGAATTTCTGGACGCAGTGTCAGTGGATCCAGGAAGACAAATAATCATCATCATCATCTGTGGCGCTACAGCCCACGTAAAGCCCTGGCCTGCCCCGCAACATCCTTCCATTCAGATCGATCAATGGCTTTCCGCCTCCATGCGTGAACCCCCAACTGGTCTATATCCATCTCCACATCGTCGATCCATCTCAGCCTTGGGCGACCGGTGAGTCGTCTGCCCCTAGGCTTTTGCCTGTATATAACTTTTGATGCTCTACATTCCGGCATCCTTCCAAGATGTCCTGCCCAGCGTAGTCTGCCTTTTTTTTTATCATTGTGACTATGGGTGGTTCTTTGTATAAATGATAAAGTTCTTGCTTTGTGCGTATTCTCCACTTATCATTTTCTATCACTGGTCCGTATATTTTTCGAAGGATTTTCCCATCCCATGTGTTAAGCAGGTTCTCTGCTTTTCTGGTAAGGGTCCAAGTGTCACTAGCGTACGTTACTACAGGTCTTATGATGGTGGTGTATATTGTCTTCTTTGTTCTCTTGAGAGGTTTTTGTTTCCCAGTAGCTTTTGTAGTTTGAATTGGAATGGTTGCCTGCTGTTATCCTTTCTTTCACCCCCGACATTATCTAATAAAGATCAATACTCAAAAGGGTCGAGATTCAATCTCTTAGGACCCTGGACATGATTTCTACGGCGCGCCTCATCTGCTGGGCGCTTCCGTAAAGGAGATCATTAAAGCAAGCTTCCGGATTCCTACCGTCGGCCCCCGTCCCACAATTCGGACACGTGACAACCAAGTGGGCTACTGTATCCTCTTCAAGTCCGCATAATCGGCACAAAAGTTCCCTTCTGTTGTCGAGTCGGTGGAGATAACTGCGCGTAGCGCAGTGCCCAGTTCTCATCTGTGTGATAAGGCTTTGTTCTCCACGACTAAGTTTCCACCATGGGTCGCTTTTACTCGGCCGCTGAAATTCCAGGTAAAACTGTCGTCCAGTAGTGGCCGTGTCCCACTTATCAAGCCATTTTCTCCTGAAATGGTCTTTCAACCAGGCAGTGACTCCGAGCTGGGTCATGGGTTTGTCTGGTTGAGGTAGGGCTGCGCCTTCTTGGGCTAAGAAATCGGCCCTGTCAGGAAGCGACGCCTCTAAGCGCGAAGTGATAAGCTGGAAGACTACCTTAGGGCCATGTGCATGGATGGAGCCTACTGTCTCCAGAATGGCAGTGATCTTTGTCGAGCCCACCGATCTCTCCCCCATGAGTTCGAGAGCAGAACGAGAGTCGGTGAAGACCACAACGTCCGGGAAGGACTTTCGTTTAGCTAGCCGTTGGTTCAACCTCTTGAGAGCTACCAGTATCGCCTCAATTTCCGCATCGAGGCTCGTTGCATTCCTACCGCATGGGCCTGATAGCTCCTCGGGTGGGGCTATCTCTGCGGGATACTGGATGAGGACACCGTAGCCGCTACGCATTTCCTCCGTGAAACATGAGCCGTCTGTAAAGACTTTAACCAAGCTATTCGGGTAGGCTTCAATCGTGCGTCGTGCAGCCTCTGATGGGTCTAATTGAGGACTGCTTTCGCTGGCTTTGGTGTTAACCATTTCCAGTCGAATGTCCGGTAGGGGAAGGCTCTTGTGTGGTCCCCGCGCGGGGATCACTTTCACTTTTTCCCTGTTTCTGGGCAGAATAACGTCTTCTTCAAGACTGTGCACCATGTCCATGAAGGATGGTCGCTTCAATCTGGACTTTTTCTCCCATTCGTCTTGCAGTTTGAAACAGGGATCTTTTCTGTCCATGCGGCGGTAACGCTCTACCGTCGC